TCTCCCCTCCCCCTCCCGCGACGACCCCCGCGCCGCCCCCCCCCCCCCCTTCCCCTTGCGCCATGGGCCACAAGCTCACGCAGCCGCTCGCTGACCATCATGCCTTGCTGCCCACCTCCGCGAGGCAGCGCGGCGTCTCGCGCGCGGGTGGGCCTCGGGGTGCTGGGCCTGGCAGGACCTCGCTGTTGACGTGCTCCCCTCGAAGCCGGTCGCAACGACCACGGATCCTGCTCAAGCTCATCGCCAGGCCACCATGCTTGATCCCCTCCTCTTCCGTCGAGTTGCCCTTCCTGCAGTAGAACTGTTTGCTCTCTAATTCGAACTGGTTCGGCGTCGACGTCGCGACGATCTCCATTCAGAAATGCCCGAGCAGCTTCGGCGTCGACTCCACGACCACCTCCGTCCCTAAATATAGACTCAGCTTGTGGACGCTCGGCGCTGGCTTCTCCTTGAAGTTCTCAGTCTCTCGCACGCAGTCTGCCTGGCCTTCATCTCCTCGTTCTCCGCGCAGTACTCGACCCCCGAGCTGGCGAGCTCCTCGCCGAGGCCGCCGATGCCCTCCGCAGCCGCCACCGCGTCGTGCACCGTGCGCTCCAGCGCCTCCTCTGTGCCGCCTCCTTTGCTTCCTGCGCCCTCGCCACCCCTGATCGTCTTCTGCTTGGCCTGCTTCGCATCATTTGGGCGCCCGGGTTATCCGGGGCTCTGAATCATGCCCCTCCGATCCAGGGGCTTCCATCGTGTCCAACGGCCTCTTGAGCCACGCGGGCGTGCCCATCTCGCCCTGCCGCGCCACTGCCCGCAGCCCTCGGAGAGGAAGCGGCGACTGGCCAGGGCAGGCGACTTGAGCCTAGGTGCCTCCTGAGGCCGATCCAGGCCGCACCCTCGTGATCGCAGAGGTCCCAGGCGTAGCTGATGGGGGCCCTGTGCTTTCTCATCACACAGCTCTCGAACTGCGCACATCACCCCCTCTTCAGACTCGGCTACAAGTGCTTCAACGCCGCCGTCATCCCCGAGAAGAAGAGAAGAACCTCTGACAGACGATGCACAAATTACTTGTTTGATCACGTGGCACAGGTTCCGCACGTCATGAGCACTGCGCGGACGGCGTGCCAGTTTGCTGCCTGTAGCAAAGCGAGCCCGACAGCGGCCGCCATCAGCCAAGGGAACCGCAGACGAAGATGCAACCTATAGCGTCGATTTCCCAAGACTGACTCGCCCCCTCCTCCTCGACCACTGCCGGCGCTGACTCGAACGTTCGGGGAGGGACTCTCGCCGTCAGTTTGCTCGCCCCCACCCTCGCGAAGTCCATCTGCACGAACTTCCTCGCCAGCTCATTGTCCGCCTCGAGCTTCCAAGGCGCCTGACTCAGCTCCTCCAGCCAGTAAACCTCGCTCTCGTTTGCATTCGACGTTATGTCCGAGCTAACTCTCCGCGCCCAAGGCGAAGCCGCCTCCGACAAGCTCGCATCCGTGCACGGTGCCATCGCCTGCACCCCAGGTAGCTCAGCGAACAGCGCGGGGGGCAGCTGCGCGCGGTGCGCGGGCCGTCACCCGCAACTCTGGTACCACCTCAGCCTTCTCACTGGCAGCTTCGCGCCAGTGCCCGCCACCTTCCAGTGCTCCAGCACCCTCTCTGTCGCGAAACTCTTGACACTCCAGTCCTCGAGCCAATCCGTACAAAGCAGTGGTTGTGGTCATCTTAGTTGAGCTTGGCACCAGCGAAATGACCACAACCACTGCTTCATTTTCGGCCGGCTGGAAAGCGGCGCAAACAAGAAGCAGATAGCCCTCCCCGCCATCGCAAGACGCCCCAGCCGTCCCAAGCACAAGGTCAACCTCCTCGTTTTGCCCCTGGTGGGATAAAGCACCCCATGCCCGCCGAAGCGCTCCCATCACCGCCCCCTGGAACACAGTTCGCTTCCAGCGCTGCGGTGCGGACAAGTTCCAGAAGCCACCCATTGCATAGAAGGCTACTTTGGCCCCCTCGCACCGTCTGGGGATCTCGTGCTCCACAGTGGCCCTTGGGGAGATCACGGGCCCCAGGCGGCGCGCTACGTCGTTCACCCAACCGTAGATGCCGAAGTCGCCCGTGCCGCGCTCCCTCGGCCACCTCCTGCACCCTGACGACTCAGCACCCTGCGACATCACGCTCGTGACCTGCTTGTCCCTGTTCTGCCTCCTCTCCAGCGCGCCCAGGGCAACGTCCAACTCATCGTCGGCCCCGCGAAAACGCGCCGCCTCTTCCTTCATCGTGACCCCGACTTCCATCAAGTGGTGCCTGCTTAGGTCGTCCGCGTACTGGTGCCAGGCGGCCCCAGAATCGAATCGATAAGCCAGATCGGGTCGACCGGAGCATCGAATCGGCAGAAATCGGCAGAAGTCGGCTAACACATCGAAATCGGCAAGAGTCGGCAGGGGCGAGTGGTATCGAGTCGGGAACCAGCTGGGCGGACGCCGGATCGGAATCGAAATCGGCAGGCACAATCTGCGCGTGCACTGGTGGGACTCATTACTGAAATCCTCGGACGTCGATCGTCGTCGCAATCGTCGTCACAACCGCCGTCGCGGGTCGTCGAAGGTCGCCCGACGCCGTCGAAGCTTGGCCAGCCTGGGGATCCGCACTGCAAACCCCCCCCTGGGGAGGGGCTCGGGTTCTGCACCCCCCCCTCTCCCTGGGACCCCCCCCCCCCAGGGGGGTTTGAGGAAGCCCGGGCCTCCCCCCCAGAGGGGAGCTTGGGGAAACCCGAAACGTAGTGCCTGCTGCATGCCCTGCGATGCCCCCCTCGTGTTTTCAGGACCCCGACACAAAAAAAAGGTCGGCTCGTCCTTCCCCTCTCCTGCCGCTTGGTTGTGTCTGCTCCCTCCTCTCCTCCTGCTTGGCTGTGTCTGCTCGTCGCGTTTTTCCTCCTTCTCCTCGCCTTCCTCCTCCTTCTCCTCCCTCCCTCCCTCCCTCTCCGGGCGGCACTGCCTGCCCAGAGCCGGCTTCGCCAACCGGCGTGAAGCCATCTTTGCCCGAAGCCATGCCTCGCATTTCGGATCGAGTTGCGCCCGGATTTCCGTGAGATTGCTGTCGGCACGGCCGAAGGCTGGCTGGGCCCGCTCCGAAAGCATGTCGGAGCACGCGGAACAGGGTATCGAGACAGCGGGAGGTGGTCTGCCCGTCGTGCCAGTGGGTGCCCGCGGGCTCCGTGCCACTTCCCGAGCCGCAGGCAGCAGGCCACCACAGTGCGGGGAGGGGGGGGGGCAACGGGGGAGAGAAGGGAGCGCACGAGGGCGGAGGCGAGGGCAGAGGGAACGGAGGACGATGGGGGCCAGCAACGCGGAGATGGGGCACCCGCGCCGACCGCGGGCCCCTGGCCCCAGAGCCCGGCTAGATCAGGCCTCGCGACTGTGCCCGACCGGAGCTCATCCTCGCAACCGGTCCCTCGAGCGTTGCAGCCTGGAGCTCGCGTGCCCCCGGGGAGGGAGCACCCCCCCCCCTCCCGCTCCCCTCCCAGACATCCGACGTCGCGATTTTGCTGGCAATGCGGCTCCCCAGACGTTTGCTTGGGATTGGTTCTTGCGAAGTCAGAAGAATACAGCATTCGCCCGTCATGATGCTCGAGGATGTCCAGCTTCTGCCACCCTTCGATACACCACCGGTGGATCGCGGATGTGCCGCCGACAGCCAATCCGCACGTGCCTGGACGGGATGTGCCACCGGGCCCTCTATCAGCGATCAATGGGCGAATAAGGGCCGACGCGTTCTATGAGTTTATCCCCCACCGACCTTCAGGAGAGGCTACATTCACCCAGATGGAGACCGAGCGCTCCGTGAGGACTTACTCCGCACGGACTTGGTATCCGATCAGGAGAGGCAAAGTCCAGAAGGAATAAGCCCCGACGGAGGCCGAGCACTCCGTTCGGACTCACTGCGCCCTGACTACCCTGGGGGGGGGGGGGCGAAACGGTAGGATAGCACAGCACACGGCAGGGCAGAGAATCAGCTCGCGCAGCTGGCTTTCCTGGCGCCGCCTGGCGCCAGGAGGCGCCCATGCATCGAGGACAGGAACCAGGTACGCGCAGCAGATTTCGTGCCCCCCTGTCCCTACCCCCAGACCCCTGGCATCATGATTTTTTCATGACTTCGACCCCCAGAGGTCTGGACCCCTTCCTCGGGACCGGTTTTTCATCCTCAATCCTTTTTTGATGGTCCCGAGGCCCAGGGTCCCGAGAGACCGAAAATAGCGAAAAGTCTCCCGTCGTGATTTTTTCCTGACTCGAGGGGGTCTGGGTCCTACACACTTTCGTCCGGCACGATACCCGCCCACCACCGCCATTGACGGCGCGCAGAGCGGGATCATTGGGGGGAGGGGAGAAGGCTTCTTAGCAAGAGGTCGCTTCTCGGAAAGCGCCGGCCCTACATCTACAGACACGGCCCGGGCTTTCTAAGAAGCAGGATGCTTCTAAGAAGCCCGCTCTGCGCATGGCCGACCTATTCTGCCATTTTGTCTGGCCCGATCCCCCTCCAACGGGGGGGGAACGAAAAGGGCGGCTAGCAGAGGGTAAGGTAGTTAGGGAATCAGCTCACGCAGCTCATTTTCCCAGCGCCTCAGGGCGCCGGGAGGCGCCCATGCATCGAGGAATGGGCCCGGCGGCGGGACCGAGACCAGCTGCATGCAGCAGATTTCGTAACCCGCCTTCCCCTATCCCCCCTTTCGTTCGGCCCGGCCAACCACAGCAGGGACCGACCGTCCCGGCATTCCTATAGTCCTACCACGAAGTGTTCTTCGAACCCACACATGTTCCAATAACAAAAACAATGCACTTAGAACATGATCCCGATGTGATAGAACAACACAGACTCCGCCAGAAATGTTCCAAAGAACATGTCGTGGAGACCACAAAAGGTTCTTAGAACATTGCTTGGTAGGACCATAGGCGAGCCAGGACGCTTCGCCACTGCTTGGAACCACCACCGCCCGCGCCCCCGCGGAAGGCCCAGCACCCCGGCTGCGGCGCCTCTGGGGCGGCCGGCGCCGCCCTCCGAGCCCGGCCGGCCGGCCTCGGCAGCTCCTGCGGCTACGAGGGGCGGCTGTTCTCTTTGGGCTCTGGCAGGTCTGCCTCAGGGCTGAACCTAACCGGTGTTTCTCGTTTTCGTTTTGTGGTCGTTTTTTGTGGTCGTTGTTCGTTTCCGTTTTGTGTTCGTTTTCCATCGCTTTTGTCTCGAACCCGCCTCTAGCGCAAAACTAGGTCGAAACGAAAACGGCCCACGAAATCACCAAACACACTGTTTAGGTCCAGCCCTGGCTTGCTTGCGCCCTTCGTGCCCTCTTTGGGGCCCAGGGGCCCCCTCGACGGCCCCTCGAGTGCACGGAGAGCCCGCCCTCTTCCCCCCCCCCCCACTCGGCGCCTCCCCGTACGCCACGCCCGATTGGCTTCCTTTTTTCAACGCGACTCCCATTGCCTCGGAAGCTTAGCGGGGGCTCCAGCACAACCGTGAAAACGACGCGGCGAGTTTCCAATCCGAAACGAGGCCCTGGAAACGGACAACAGGCGCGGAGCGACTGGCCGACAGGCCACAGCCCCGCTCCCGCGCACCCCCACCCTTGTGGGAGTGGCACCTGCGAGGGCGGCCCCCCCCCCCCCCCCCTCCTAAAACAGGGCTAGGATCGGGATAAATCGCTCCAGAGCGTTCCGGAGCGCTCTCAGAGCGTTCCGGAACGCTCTGGAGCGGCCGCGGCGCCCAATACATCCTCCAAACCCGCCGATTCTCAGAGATTTCGAGTTATCCCGATCCGATTTTGTCCCGATCTTCGCATCGTTTTACCCCCCCCTCTGGTGAGGAGAGGCACAAGGTCCCGATTGGCTTCCGCCGGCTTCCGCCGGCCTCTCGCCAGCTTCCGCTGGGGGAGGCGCCCTCGCTCTGCAGCCGACCCGCACAGGCAGGAGGCGCGATGAGAGCGCAAGGGCCTCGGAGGGCCACGTTGGCGTTCGTCGAACGAGGTGCGGCCCACGAGAGTGGCCCGGGCTGGGCCGAGGAGGCAAGGATGCAAGGGTCCCCTTGGATCCTTGAAGGATGCAAGGCTACCCTTGGGAAGGTGCCCGTCCTTCCTATGCGGGTTGCACCTCGTTTCGCGCGCGGTGCAGCGATGTGCGGCCGCGGTGCCCGTGGTGCTGTCCCCCAAAGGCATCTTCGCGTCGAGAAGGGACACACTCTCAAATTGTTCGCGAGAACGCCCGTGACCGCCCCCGCAAGCCCTCCCTCCTCACACACCCCCTGATCACGTCCCCCTGTCACCCTCGGGGTCGCGCCCGATCGCAAGGGAATAAACAATTGTCTCCTCGCGTCGAGACATGCAGGACGAAGGGGGAGGGGGTCAGGGGGCAACTCCTGGGAGATCTTCGCAAGCACGATTGCAAGCCATTGTAAACACCATCAGACTGGATTGATCCCAGGATTCAGCCAGGTCCCAGGATTCAGCCAAATCTGGACCCCTCCCTTCCCTATCCCCCCTCTCGCCCGGCAATGTGCTCGGACGTGTTCGGCTTTTCTGGGCCCTCGCCCAGCCCCAGGGCCGCCGATAAACAGCTCAGGATTAAAAGAAGAAGAAACGACATAAGCATAAACTGTTGGCGCTCCGCGCGGATTTCTTGGATTCGCGCTGGACCCCCCTCCATGGCGCGCGGAGCGCGCCAGGGGCGGCGCCGGAGGCGGGCCCCCCCCAGCGACCCCCCAGCGCGCCTGGACCCCCCGGCGGCGCCTCTGGCGCCGCCCCTGGCGCGCTCCGCGCGCTATGGAGGGGGGTCCAGCGCGGATCGAAGAAATCCGCGCGGAGCACCAGCAGTTTATGCTTATGTTGTTTTCTCTTCTGCGAAGGATGACAGGGCGATCCCTGGGAAGTGTCGGGGTCCACCAAAAGGGGGGGAACCCTGAGGGGGGGAGTTCGATCCGCTGGTGCATCGAATTTCCGAAAAACGATGCCACCCGCGCGCCCCGATTGTCGACACCTCTCGGGTTCTGGCGGCGGCCGGAGACCTCCTTTTGCATAATGTTTGTTGCGGTCCGATGTGCCAAGGGACCGAACTCCCCCCCCCCCCCCTGTGGCACCCCCCCTCTGCGAGGTCCCGAAAAAGGTCGCGACCCATGCTGGCCATCGCTCGGACGTCCATTCCCTGTGTTTTTCCCAACCATCCTGTGGTGTTGGGTCCTCGTTTTGAAGAGACGGTGCCCCGCGTTCCTCTCCTCTCCTCGCCTCTCCTCGCCTCTCCTCTCCTCTCCTCTCCTCTCCTCCTCTCCTCCCCTCCTCTCCTCCTCTCCTCTTCACCCACCCAGTACACCGCTTCGTGGCTCCATAGGGAGCTCCACCGAAGGCCCCAGTGCCCGCGCCCGCATGCGTCACCCACACCCATTTCGGCACACCCCTCACACGTTTCGTGGCTCCATAGGGAGCTCCACCGAAGGCCCCAGTGCCCGCGCCCGCATGCGTCACCCACACCCATTTCGGCACACCCCTCACACGTTTCGTGGCTCCATAGGGAGCTCCACCGAAGGCCCCAGTGCCCGCGCCCGCATGCGTCACCCACACCCATTTCGGCACACCCCTCACACGTTTCGTGGCTCCATAGGGAGCTCCACCGAAGGCCCCAGTGCCCGCGCCCGCATGCGTCACCCACACCCATTTCGGCACACCCCTCACACGTTTCGTGGCTCCATAGGGAGCTCCACCGAAGGCCCCAGTGCCCGCGCCCGCATGCGTCACCCACACCCATTTCGGCACACCCCTCACACGTTTCGTGGCTCCATAGGGAGCTCCACCGAAGGCCCCAGTGCCCGCGCCCGCATGCGTCACCCACACCCATTTCGGCACACCCCTCACACGTTTCGTGGCTCCATAGGGAACTCCCCGAAGGCCCCAGTGCTGCATGCGTCCATCACAGGGAGCTCCACCGAAGGCCCCAGTGCCCGCGCCCGCATGCGTCACCCACACCCATTTCGGCACACCCCTCACACGTTTCGTGGCTCCATAGGGAGCTCCACCGAAGGCCCCAGTGCCCGCGCCCGCATGCGTCACCCACACCCATTTCGGCACACCCCTCACACGTTTCGTGGCTCCATAGGGAGCTCCACCGAAGGCCCCAGTGCCCGCGCCCGCATGCGTCAGCCACACCCATTTCGGCACACCCCTCACACGTTTCGTGGCTCCATAGGGAGCTCCACCGAAGGCCCCAGTGCCCGCGCCCGCATGCGTCACCCCACACCGCATTTCGGCACACCCCTCACACGTTTCGTGGCTCCATAGGGAGCTCCACCGAAGGCCCCAGTGCCCGCGCCCGCATGCGTCAGCCACACCCATTTCGGCACACCCCTCACACGTTTCGTGGCTCCATAGGGAGCTCCACCGAAGGCCCCAGTGCCCCATGCGTGCCACACCCCTCGCCAGCATGCGTCACCCACACCCATTTCGGCACACCCCTCACACGTTTCGTGGCTCCATAGGGAGCTCCACCGAAGGCCCCAGTGCCCGCGCCCGCATGCGTCCCACACCCATTTCGGCACACCCCTCACACGCTTCGTGGCTCCATAGGGAGCTCCACCGAAGGCCCCAGTGCCCGCGCCCGCATGCGTCCCACACCCATTTCGGCACACCCCTCACACGTTTCGTGGCTCCATAGGGAGCTCCACCGAAGGCCCCAGTGCCCGCGCCCGCATGCGTCAACCACACCCATTTCGGCACACCCCTCACACGTTTCGTGGCCCATAGGGAGCTCCACCGAAGGCCCCAGTGCGCATGCGCGCCCGCATGCGTCAACCACACCCATTTCGGCACACCCCTCACACGTTTCGTGGCCCCATAGGGAGCTCCACCGAAGGCCCCAGTGCCCGCGCCCGCATGCGTCAGCCACACCCATTTCGGCACACCCCTCACACGTTTCGTGGCCCATAGGGAGCTCCACCGAAGGCCCCAGTGCCCGCGCCCGCATGCGTCAGCCACACCCATTTCGTCAACTCCCTCACACGTTTCGTGGCCCCATAGGGAGCTCCACCGAAGGCCCCAGTGCTGCCGCCCGCATGCGTCCCGCACACCCATCCCCTTCACACGTTTCTTGGCCCTATAGGGAGCCCCACCGAAATTGGTAGTGTCAACTGCGGTATTCACACCTGCACATGGTTGGGCCCTTCGTTTGGCTAATTTTCGATTTCGTGCCTGATCAAGGAGGAAAAAACGCACACGTCCGAACGATGCCAGGCCCATGGGTGCCCACACTGTGCACAGACCGCGACGCCCGAGATCCGGAGGTCCGGGGTCAGCAGGAGGATCGGGCCTCGACGTCCAAGGGGTGCTCGCGCGCTCCCCCCTCTTGTGTGGGGGGCAAGCGAGGTGCTCACGGCTGCGAGGCTGAGGCTGAGGCAGGCTGAGGCTGAGGCTGAGGCCGAGGCAGGCTGAGGCTGAGGCCGAGGCAAGCCGAGGCTGAGGCTGAGGCTGAGGCTGAGGCTGAGGCAGGCTGAGGCTGAGACAGGCTGAGGCTGAGGCTGAGGCAGGCTGAGGCTGAGGCAGGCTGAGGCTGAGGCCGAGGCAGGCTCAGGCCGAGACAGGCTGAGGCTGAGACTGAGGCTGAGGCTGAGGATGAGGCCGAGGCAGGCCGAAGCTGAGACAAGGTGAGGCTGAATGGGGGGGGGGGGAGGAGGGGAGGCTGAGGCAGGCTGAGGCCGAGGCAGGCTGAGGCCGAGGCAGGCTGAGGCTGAGGCTGAGGCAAGCCGAGGCAGGCTGAGGCTGAGGCTGAGGCTGAGGCAGGCTGAGGCTGAGGCAGGCTGAGGCTGAGGCTGACGCAGGCTGAGGCCGAGGCAGGCTGAGGCTGAGGCTGAGGCAGGCTGAGGCTGAGGCCGAGGCAGGCTGAGGCTGAGGCTGAGGCAAGCCGAGGCAGGCTGAGGCTGAGGCTGAAACTGAGGCAGGCTGAGGCATCCGTAGGAATCCATAGGAATCCTTAGGAATCCGTAGGAATCCTTAGGAATCCGTAGGCATCCTTAGGAATCCGTAGGCATAGTTCAGCATCCTCAGGAATCCTTAGGAATCCTTGAG